CTGCCGTAACTTTTTCAAAAATGAACATATCAATATAATTTTTTTTTTATATAGATGTTTGATGTCTTTACCTATCATTTCATATTTTTTTTTGTAAATTTGACACTTAACCTGCCCACAAGAGGGATTTATTTTTTTATTATTTTTTTCATTCAATTAACTTTTTTAACTTGACTTTTGAAAATGTTCCGGAAAGTCTGACACTTTTATATATGTCTTAAATTAAAGATAATGTAATATACTTTATTATGAAAAAAAATATTTGACCTCTGAACTTGTCTTCGTGGTGAAAATGTCTACCGAATGCTATTTTTGTGTGAAAATTCTCGATTTTGTATTTTACATTTTTTACTTAAAAATGCTAAAACTTTTAAAAAATGAATGTATCAATACAATTTTTTCATGAGAAATAATATTTTTTTATAATCCCTTTTTCATTCGATATACTTAATCTTAATCAGGATATTTATAAGGAACTAGCAGATCATGAAGCTTTTGGAATAATACACCAATTTTTTAAAATTAAACACTATCTAAAGATTTGCATCGAAGCGTTTTTTTTTTTATAGTGATTTTAATCACTGTCAGATATCATTATACTTGATCCAACTATGCCACGTCACCACTGTGCCGCGACCTCCCTGTGCTGGGTTTTTTTTTTTTATTGCGTTAAAAGCAAGCGATAATGTTAACACCACTCCAACAAACATATTTTAAATTGCTAAACATTATTGTGATATTTTGTATAATTACCTTTGTCAATGAAATAATGGTACAACATTTTATTTCAATTTCATGTATATTACTGAACCAAAAAAAAGTATTTTATGTCGAATTTATAATTGAAAAAATAAAAAATATCCTCTTTTAAATCAACCTTAGAAAGATAATATGTACTAATTATCTTTTATTTAAATTTAGTAATAATTAATAAGTGTAATTTAGCAAAACATTTATATTTTTTAAGCTAACTCATAATTTGAGTTTGTAGAATATTCAATGTTTTTTAGGGATTCATTTAAGAATGTTTATAAAAAACTCAGCACAGATGGTCACGGCTCAGTGATGACGTGGAATACTTGGGTCATGTATAATGATATCTGACAGTGATTTAAATCACTATCATAAAAAATGCTTCGATGCAAATCTTTAGATAGTGTTTAATTTTAAAAAATTGGTGGATTATTCCAAAAGCTACATGATCTATTATTTTCTTATTTATATCCTGATTAAGATAAAGTATGTCGAATGAAAGAGAGGTACAAATATTATTTCTCATAAAAAAATTGTATTGATCCATACACTTTTCAATAAGTTATAGCGGTATAAAGTTAATGTAAAATATCAATTCGAAAATTTTCACACAAAAAAAAACATTTGATAACTATTTTCACCATGGAGACAAAATAAACCAAAATTGGTGGTTTTTTCCAAAAGCAAAAATAACTTCTATTTTTTGTTCTATTATGACTGCCAATTAAACATAGAAAATAGGTCGTCGATACAATTTTTTTTTTTAATTTATAATACGTAACATAAACTTTAATTTGACATATGTTTAAAGGACGCAGTATTTCCGGAACACTTTCAAAAGTTAAGTTGAAAAAGTTAATTTTTGTGAAAAAATTATCATTTTGAATCTCCTTCTGTGGGTAGGTAAAGAGTTATACATCTATAAAAAAATTATATTAATTTGGTCATTTTTAAAAAAATTATGGCAGTTTTAAGTAAAAATAATTGAAAAAATTGAATAAATATTTTTAATAGGTTCATGAGATATTAAATGATGTAAAACCTATCATTTTGTATATTTTTTTTATAAATTTGACTCTTTACCTGCCCACAGGAGGAGATTCAAAATGACAACTTTTTCACAAAAAATTAACTTTTGAAAGTGTTCCGGAAATACTGACACATTTATATATAGATTAAATTAAAGCTCATATAATATACTTTATTATGGAAAAAACATTTTTGGACTTTATTTTGTTTTCATTGTGAAAACGGACATCAAAATTAGTAATAAAAATAAGATTTTTGTAAAAATTTCTTTTTTATATTTTTAACTCTATAATGATATAATTTCTTGAAAAATGTATGGATCATTATCATTTTTTTTAAAAAACCATTATTCTTTATACAGGGGGTTCAAAACTTAAAAATGCATATAGAAAGTAGAACTTAAGTTTTAAAAGTGTTCCGGAAATATTGACACTTTTATATATATTTTAAATTAAAACTTATGTAATATACTTACAATCTAATACTAATACCACATATTTGACTCCTTCTGTAAAACTCATTTTTTATCTAACTCAATGTAATTTTTTGTGAATTTATCAAGATTTTAATTAATTTTACTTTTTTTTATTTTAAATAGTTGAACCGAACTCATTGCTAGACCTTACGGTGAACAATAAAGACATTAAAGCAGATTGAATTTTAAAAATTAATGAAGGTCCTTTTGATAAATTCTAGATATTTTAAATTTTTTATGTAATTATAGTCCATGCAAGTATAGGAATGGTTTTTAAATTTCAATATGAGAAATGTTAAAATTATAATGTTTAAATTTGTTCCAATGTAGATCGATATGATTTATGCAAAGTTTGAAATAAAATTGATTAAACTTAACCCGTTTTGTTAGAATGTTGAAATTTCGACATAGAAAATAGTTTTTTGATTTTTTTATTTATCTCAAAAACTATGCAAATAACAAAAGTTCTTAGAGGTTCTTCATAAGAACCTTATTTGTTAATCTTGTTACTTTGTGTGAAAGTTACTCTTACAAATTATGAATTATTCAATAATTTTGTATTAATATTTTTGTATGTTTTAAATAAGACATTAAAATTTCTGAGAAGTATGTTTTTATGTTCTTTCGTGATGAATACGAGAATAGATAATAAAAATAATAGTAATCTGATAACACAATTTAGGCGAATATATTCTTTCATCTAACCATTTATGAAATCTTCATTTTCTATACTAACACAATGATCTGCACAGTGGTTGGCCAGAAACACAAGTATATGGTACTGGGCTTACAATAATAATGCGAATATCGTGTTTCCTCAACGACTCCGGTTACATCAAAAACGAACATCGGCGAGTTCAAACAATTTTCATCAGACCGTTTTAATAGATTATTGTGAACATTAAAATGTTTCTATACAAAAAAAACAAATGATTGGGTGTTAGCTTTTTTGGTATATTGATTTTCATAAAAGAGATATTGTGATGCATTTGTCGACGTTCATATTAATGTAAACAAACCATCGATGTTCCAATTGTATGTATTTTCTTTTATTCACAGAGTATTGTGTTTTAAATTAAAAAATAACATAAAATCGAATCCTTATACAATGATTTTATTATTTTCGACAGGTTAGTCGATTTCTAAGTATGTTTAAATATAAATTCTTCATTTTAAAACCGAGATTGATATTTTCCTAATTTTTGACCTGCTATATTTTTATGTCATTTTTTTTATACTTTTTATTTTAATTTGTAATCGTTTTCTACTATAAATGATATAATTTCATAAAATTTCAATCTTCCAGTCACATAATGTATGTACAAATAATTGTTTAATTATTTACTTTACAAAATTATAAACTTCCTTATAATTTATTCAAAGTCAATTTAAAAAAATTCATTGAGACTACATATAGTAGTGACCATGTTGGTGGAAATTTACCATAATTTTAGAATTACTCTTAAGGATCATTTGCGAATACATTCTACCTTTCATTGTACTTATTCAGTTTAGACATTATTATAAAACGTTGGTAATGTTGTTCAGTTATGTAGACATTGATAGTAAAGTAATTCAAGCATAGACTATTTTACAAAGTACACAAGTAAAAATAATTTTAAGTTTTTTTTAGTTCATTATCAGATATCAATGTCTAGAATCTGATACTTGTTTGAAAATTAAACATTATTTTCAAACAGTACTTAAATTTTATATTCTATGTATAAAAATTCTTATGAGGGCTAAGACTTCCTATTTTAGTTTTTAAAGAGGCTAAGTTCACCTAAGTACTCTGACATTATTGTATTCTTAAAGACATGTCGACTATAATTTTCTGTTGTAATTCCAAGACATAACAAAATTCATATTTAGTATACTTATAGATTATAAATGGATCAAAATGTTGTTGACCTGGGAAATTATGCGCATTTCAAGACTTCTTTTTATATTAATTTGATAGCATGAAAAATAATAGTCTAAAATTCTTATTTAAAATATATTTTTATCACTAGTCTTTTTTAGGTCACATTTTTTTTGCCTGGTTATACAAATGTCAACAACGTCCGAAATACTGGTTCAAAAGTTGTTGTCAACCAGTCATTTTTTTAATTAGATCATTATCTATTAAATAAGTTAGTTAATTATTTGTGTTGCCTTTTGAAAAAATAAAGTTCACATTCTTATAAGGTGTAAAGATGAACATGAAAAATACTTCATGATTAATAAAACAAAAAAAATATTATCTATTTTACTTCTATTTTTTTACTAATTAAGTAGTCCATGATAAATGATTCTCTTTATATAAAATAGGAAATAACTTGTAAAAAAATTGGGTTGAAAAATAAAAATTATAGTTTATAAGTTTTTAATTATTAAAAAATCAATGTATTAAAGTTATTTGACATTTTATTAAACTTTAACTATCTATTTTTTGGCACGACGTGACTGCAAATTTTTTAATAGGTTATTTTGCTTAACAAGACATCCAACTATTACAACGTAAATTATTAAAGGCGAACGTGTCAGAATATCCATTACGCATACAGTGTAAAAATAAATGATGTGTATCCGGGCGCAGTTTCTATCGTAAGTCCGATTGATGAACCGTAACACAGTTGCTGCAGCGATGGAGTGTTATTTTTAAACAGCCTATTATCAATGCACTCATAGATGGCGTAATAGGGCTGACCTCGAGTATAATGTCTTCGTTAATCGTAAATATCCAGATCGCCAAACACATGTGTCAGTATCACGCGCTTACCTGATCGGGGTTGTTTAGTCGAACGTTTTGTTACTTTACAGTTCAATATTTTTACGTGTTTTTTTCTGTTAAAAACAAATAAATAAAAATGTGCATTGATAAAGTATAAATATATTTTTAACATGCACATCACAATTATTTATCACGATATCTTGTTTATTTTTTGTGTTGTTTTATATACTTTAGGTCACTTCACAAATGCGGATAAAGGTAAAGATTTAAAAAATATTTTTTTTATTACATGTGATCTAATTTTTCATGTTAGAAATTTGACTTTTAATTATAGGGACAACTAGATTAACATTTATAGGGGTGCTAATTTAATCTATCCCCCACCCAACGATATAAATTTTATTATAAAATTTATCTCTTATTGTATTATACAAACCATTAAAATACAAGCTGTAATTTATAAAAATTATTATAATTTTACTGTTTAAAATGTTACAAATATATGAAGAAAGTCGATGTGTAAATATAATAATAATAATTTTTATTTAGTATCAAAAATAAATTTCATTTTTGTAAAATTTCCCTTTACTTAACTAACTGACTTCATTAAATAAGTCGTAAATACATAATTTACTGCAAAGTGCTTATAAAATTATAATTTACAACAGATATTCTTATTATACAGAGTTTTCAATAAGTTAAGAAGTACCGATTTTTAATACCGCTATTAATTTTTTACTATTTTAGCTTCGATGCGAAGCGGAGAAGGTATTAATTTTACTATGATGTGTTTTTTTTTTTTATGTCTGTTGCCACTTTTTCTCAGCTCTCACTGGACCGATTTCTTTCAAAAATACGTCAAAAGATCACAAATCGTATCTAGTTGAAGACATTACCCTTAAAAATTGAAAAAAATTCCCTCGTTCCCCGCAAATGGGGGAAATATCCAAAAAAATTACAAATTTAAAAATCGCTAATTTTCGAAATTTTTTCACTTTTTTTTCTTAAAACTTCCATAACTTTTTGAAAAATCAACAAATCAACATAATTTTTTTTTATACTAAAACCTTAGATATTNGGTTAGTTTAATAATTAAATGCATATTTTATGAATTAAATTAAAGTTCAACCCTAATTTAAAAGAGTAGAAATATACCTTATTATTACATTTCACTTTTATGATTTTGATGGATTTGAAAAGTTTTAGACTGATTAAGATTTATTGTCTTGGACTATGTTAAAATCATTTTTTTCATTATTTGTTTCTTAACAAAAATGAAAATTAATTTTTTATTTAAAATTTAAAAAAATCCATTTATTAGCATTTTATTTACAAAAATTTTGATGGGCCAATAACATCTTTAGAATAAATACTTATCGTGCGACAAACATTTTAATACAATGATAGGTCAACGTGTATATAATTCTCTAAAATTATGGAGATTCAAGCTCCCTTTATTTAGACCAATGCTTCTAAAAAAGTTTTACTATTTACTGAAATTTAAAAACCAAAAAATCTTTTTATTATACTTATGTGTCGAGTTGTAACCATTTTAAGTAAACTCTTCATTTATTTTATATCAAATACAACTGCAAAATAAAACACTTATATCATTAACAGTGAACTTTAATGAATTATAATGTCTGTACCTGAGAAACATAAGGTTTTAAGTTCAAATTGACGTTATCTCCTTTCACTACACCTATTTATTAGGTATTTTATTAATTAATTATTACACTGGTTAATTTTATAACTTAATATTTTTAATTCAATATATTTAACATTAGATAAATTAACAGTATCTTGATTGAGTATCAATTAATTCCAAAATTATTTTATATGTGTCGGTAGAGTTAAATATTGACATCGGTGCATTACTCTGTATATCGAATTTACAAAATGCTTACTGAACACGTTTTACGAGATTTTACTGCACCCAAGTCTATCATAATAAACTCTGCTTATATATAACAAAAAAACAGACGTCAAATTAAGAAATAAACGTGTGTGTATGAATACTTGAGTACAAACACTACTCAAGCAGTTCTTTTTTTAATACAAATAACTATGGTCCAGACCATCATAAAACATAAAATAAATCGTCAATATTAAAAATTATTACGTCTACGTGTTCATATTCTCTGTTTGTTTATTTTAATGACTTAAATTAATTTTGATATTATAAAGTGTACTTATTTGTATGCTGTAATTTAGTTGGAACTAATTTTTTATAATTAGTAATAAGACTTACTAATCAGTCATATGACTGATGTTTATTATGATCAAAACTCGTATGAGCTTTGCTAAAAAAAACTCTTTCACAACACGTTTCTTTGAGAAAAATGTTTATTATATGAAACATATTAACATACACATATTTCCTTAAAAGTGAAACAATTTCTCTGTTTTAATTGATTTATTCACATTTTTTTATGGNAGATAAATTAACAGTATCTTGATTGAGTATCAATTAATTCCAAAATTATTTTATATGTGTCGGTAGAGTTAAATATTGACATCGGTGCATTACTCTGTATATCGAATTTACAAAATGCTTACTGAACACGTTTTACGAGATTTTACTGCACCCAAGTCTATCATAATAAACTCTGCTTATATATAACAAAAAAACAGACGTCAAATTAAGAAATAAACGTGTGTGTATGAATACTTGAGTACAAACACTACTCAAGCAGTTCTTTTTTTAATACAAATAACTATGGTCCAGACCATCATAAAACATAAAATAAATCGTCAATATTAAAAATTATTACGTCTACGTGTTCATATTCTCTGTTTGTTTATTTTAATGACTTAAATTAATTTTGATATTATAAAGTGTACTTATTTGTATGCTGTAATTTAGTTGGAACTAATTTTTTATAATTAGTAATAAGACTTACTAATCAGTCATATGACTGATGTTTATTATGATCAAAACTCGTATGAGCTTTGCTAAAAAAAACTCTTTCACAACACGTTTCTTTGAAAAAAATTTTTATTACATGAAACATATTAACATACACATATTTCCTTAAAAGTGAAACAATTTCTCTGTTTTAATTGATTTATTCACATTTTTTTATGGTAAGTTATTGGAGAACGCATAAAAGATTTAAGAATTATTAATTAATTAATATGTAAATATTTATAATCTAAATTATACATAGAACAATTGGGATACATTCATAATAATACATTTTAAATTGGAAATAATTATTATTTATTTACATATTTATTACAATTTTTTTTTAGCTAAGTGTTGCGGTCGTGTTACTGGAAACTGTAAAAGAGCCTGTGAACAAGTAAGTAGTTGTTTAACACATAACCTAACTGCATTGTGAAATCAGGTCTTCGCTTATGGGAAGTACTACAATAATAGTGTGTGTATATTAATGTACACGGATATCTGATATGATATGCATAGTCCGTTTGGATATATGTGAATGAATATTATTGTCAACCATCCAACTCTTGATTGTAATGAATTATTATTGTTTTTTACTTGCGTGTAGGTATTGTGTATGTAATAGAGTGAACGATGATGATGTTGATGGTAGAAATGGAAATAAATATCATTTTTTTGCCAACACACGTTCTCTTTCATAAATTATTTTATCTCTTGAATATCCCAATGTTTTCTTGTAGTCTTGAAAGAAATCTTTTACTTACACACACATCAAATGACTCGAGTAGTAAAATATTTTTTATTATAATATATCCATATAGATGGTCGGACAGACGCTTTCCTCGATACTTTATTTGAAGAATGTATTTAAATGTATTGTGTTTTCAAAAACAACTAGACAAAATAAATACCTTAGACTATTTAGGTATATACAGATGTAAAAAAACGTTTTTTGCCGTGCACGATTTCCATGAATCATGTTTTAACACCTTGTTAAGAGCGACGTATAGATGTAATAAGACCGTACGGATATCTTATTCATTTATAAAAGCTTTTCTACTAGACAGAAATCTAATAGTAGTAGGAAGTACACATGCAATGGACTATTATAAACTTCTTAAACAAAATGTTTTAAATTTAAAATTTTAGTTTTAGAAATCAAATAGTGAAAATTTTTTGCTTATCTGTTTAAAGGCAATTGGCCCTTTTTAATATCCAAGAGAATTAAGAATTGACGCCATTTTTATGTCGTTAATTTATTTTATAAGTTGTATAAAAAAAATTGTTAATATTATAACATCATGTGAAATAATGTGGTGTCGAAGACGCTTTTAGCCATCACAGTATTGGTTAACATTGAGTGAAATGAAATTAATAAATTAAATAAGAGTGATATTTTTTAGAATAGAAATAAATACCGCCTAGTCAGAAACATTAGCATGGTATTAAATAGTGCTTAGTAAGCTATCTCACTCTTATATTAAAAATTAAATTACAAAATTTATGGATATTAATTACACCAAGAAAGTGTAAAGCTCTGCTTAAATGGTTATTAAACCATTTAGTTAAGATTTACATATTTTAACAACAACCTATTAATACAACTAAGCAATCATTTTATTTAAAAATTATTTTTAGACTTTAAAATCTAATTACGGTTGATACCTTAGAATTTTTAATGTTGTGTATTTTAATTTATCGTTTTATATTTAAATTAATAATGATCATAACTTTATTTTTGTCACCAACAAAGTAAGTATAAATGTTTATGTAAATCAAATCAAACCACCGAGTGTGCGCTAGTTAGATTCTTAAAATAAATTTTAACTTATGAATAAATGAAATAAATCAAAACCCATGAGATATCGTGTGCTTTTTTTGTATATTTAATATTCTCTGTGAATAACGCGACAAATTCTTTTGTGTCATTTCCGTCCTATGCTTACTCACGTTTGAATAAGAATAGTTTACGCTTAATATTATTATGGTAATTCAAATATCATAAAATATTCAATTTTATTGTTGGTACTTTTTTTGATAAAACTCTTTAATATTATGAGGGTGGCCTAGTTTGTTGGGATTTAAGTGCAAGATTTTTTCTTTTGGTTATAGATGATCCCTGCACAAATGCATACCAATAACAAGACTAGTTAATGGAAATTCAGCACACATGTCATGCACGATAGTTGTGCAGATGGGAACAGCGTTGAATAGCTGAACAAACATTGACATGTTTATTACCGACACCCACCCCAGCCGATTGAAATTCCTAGAAAAGGATATCTTAAAGGCGAAATGTTATTTTTCTGACGATTTTACTACATTTTAAACATTTCTCAATTGTTTAAATTTTACAATCTGTTTGATTTTAAACGTTTTCATCGCATACTATTGGGGATACGTAGACATAAAAAATTTAATAATATTACAGAAGTCAATAAAATTAAGGGAAGAATGACTAGCAGATGTTTTAAATTTTCCAGATAACATATTATTATGTTATTGATAAAGAAATATTTCTATAACATTTTTTTAATGTAATCTGAGTTTAAAACGCCAAAAAAAGTTATGGTCTTTATTACTTTTTGATAAAATCAGGCGAAAGTGTATGTAGTAAAACTTAATACGTTATTTAAATTTCAGATTCAAATCATTCATCAATTAATCAAGTTTAAAAAAAAAAAACAATTTTTTCAAGTAAATGTTTATTTTTAAACAGTATAATATATTTTTGAATCACGATTAATAGTATATTCACTTTACTAATTCGGTTAGTGAGTTTCACGTGTACTGCTATCATGGGCAAATTTAATACACATTACACTAGTACAATTTTCTAAGAACACACTCAACGGCATCAATTAACTATAGTATATCCTTTTTGATCTAAAAATGGCATAAAATTATCTCTTTCCTCGTTTAATGACTATATAATTGCTATAAATTATTTTACTAAAATTTAAACTGAAAATAAAAATAAAATTATTCTTTTCGGAGAAGAGGTTCTTATTGATAAAGATGTGAACTTAAACATCCAAAAGACATATTCATTTAGGACTCCTCTCTAGTCCATGACGAATTACAGTATCTTAATCCTTATACAGGAACTTATAATCACCATGTGCTCATTGAAAAGTCTGTCACTGACTTACTGTACAATACCTCGTTCGTGTGAGACTGTGAACTATACATGTACGTATACAAATATGCGATTATAAATCACTACACGACCCGGTGCTGCTTGTTATACGATAATTTACGCAAACTGAAGCAGAGGTAGACGAAGTCGGCAACGGCACCGGCTGTTGTCTATCGGATGTCTTAAATTACAACCGGCAGTAACTGCGACTTGGTAAAATTATAAGGCAAACAAACAACAGGATTGTGACTTGTTACTGGCTACCGCCCAAAGTGTCAAATCGACTTCAGCTGAGATGATTCAATTATTATTTATTACTATTACAATTCTGCGCGTAAAATATTTGTTTTCTCGATCAATACGTCAATATAAAAAACAAATTCTTATCGTACTAATTAAAAAATAATAAGTATTTATTTATTTTATGATTTCCCCATATTTCATTAAAAGAAAAATTTATTAAATATTTTCATGTAATCTACTAATCTTATTCTATGAATAAAATTAGTAGAAATTAAAAATAATCACTTTTTGCAACCCTTAAACTTAAATTAAAAAAAACAAAAGATTAAATGCAGTTTGTATATAAACTTTACAGTTATATTAATTTTTCGTTTTATTGTTTAACCTAATGTATTATTGGATAAGTCGGTTGTTGTAGATATACAGTATATATAAATAATATAACACAATACAAATCAATAAAATAAATAAGTTTTAAATTAAAATTATATAAAAAAAAAAAAAAGTTATCATTATGATTCCTTCTTGTGGGCAAGTAAAGGGTTAGTTTTATAAAAAAAAATCAAATAATAGGTAAAGACGTGCATCTATATAAAAAAAAATTATACTGATTTGATCATTTTTGATAAAGTTATAAGTTTTTTACACTGGACTACAAGGAACTTTCATCAGAAACAAAAATATACTTTTCTAAATCAACTTTTCGCGATGTTTTCAAATGTGCTATTAGTCTTTTTCTATCACTTCAAAATTTTAATATTATTACTTATTATTAAAAAATAAGTATTTACATATAAAAAAAAACCCAGCACAGTGGAAACATAATATAATTGGGATCCAGAATAGATATAATCTTACAGTAATTAAAATCACTATCATAAAAAACGCTTCGATGCAAATCTGTAGATAATGTTTAATTAAAAAAAATTAATGGATTATTCCAAAAGCTACATGATCTGCTATTAATATCATGAATGAAAAAGGGATTATTAAAAAATATTATTTTTTTAATAATTGAATACAATTTTACCAACTATTAATAATTAATACTGTATAAAAAAAAATGTACAACTAAAAAATTTTAAATGAGTAATATTTTATAATTAAAATCCAATCCCAGTTACTAATTTATTTAAACAGTATAAAACGGATATTGTTTAAATATATGACCTTTCAAGCTTAAACCACACAACATGTCTAAACGATTAAAGAATTCATAAAACAATACAATACATTTGTTTAATTCAATTCTTCACACCGGACATAATAAAATTTACAAAGGTAATTATGGATTGAATTTTATTATTTTTCTACCTTCTACACTAATCAATTGAATTTCCGCAATCATATTTTGGTATTCGGATGGTCAGTTTGGGGACTTGACGGGTATTGGATTTATTTGAATTATATTATTTGGATTTGAATTATGTATGCCGTGTAGTTATGCCTAAGATTTGTTGCAACAGTAGTTTGAGTAGATGTGTTCATTTGTTATAAAGTTGTCTTTTTAAAAATTCATTGGCTGTGTTTATCACTAAAAGCGAGGAATTATGTTGATGATGGTTTAATTAAAACATTAGTCTCCTAACATACCAATAACATTATGTGCTTATAATGATATAATAGAAACGCCCTAAGCAATTGAAACAATTAAGAATAACGTAAAAAAAATGACGTACGCTTTATAACGAGTAGAAATATTTTCGTATACGATATTACACGAGTATTTATAAAAACTACTCATTATAAATGAGTACAGTTTTCATAAAATAGAATATTTGTAAATATTCAATGTTAAGAAGTTTGACATTAAAGATACATATTGTACGTGATTCGTAAAGAATTTTGTTTTGTACGAGGCAGCTAGATTGTAGGATGGCTAGTTGTGCACCGCACTAAATTGCCGATTTACCTTAAGTCTGTTTAAATCGCATTTATTGAAGCGGGAATGGGTCACCTTGGAGGTACATCCAATAAGTAACGAGAGTAGACAATAATTAAATAACAAATAATCACATATATTAGAAATTCCTCAGAGAGTATCTTAAATTTAATGGGTAACGGGGGACCCTTAAATACTAGTGGCCGGCGAAGCGGCATAAAACAAAATAATTAATCTCAATTAAAACAAACAATAAATAACATTAAAAATAATATAAAAACTCAGCTGTATAGATGACGTTGTTGATAGTGTTGAGTGGACTGTATGAGAGCTTGTGGTAATGATGTCGAACATTTGAGTATGACGAGTCAGAGTGTAGATCCAGACACGTAATGGCAGATGAGAACAGACGGCGGAAAAGCGACTACGGCAATGAAGATATTTAGCGATGGTCAGGGCCCAATTACTAGTGGCTCGCAAGGATACGAAAACATTGAGCACAAGGGTGTAATAAACAAATAAAAGAATAACGGCGTACAATGACCGAACAATTTACCATTCAAGCGAAGGCGCTTGCTACAAAAATAATGACACACAAAACAATTGACTGACTGACTTACGACGATGAACTGTACACGGATGACAATTGACACGGAGGTCATCGATTTGCCGTACTGGATGTGCAAAGGGGTGAGTGATGCAAGACGTTGGAGATCAGCTGTCACGCGATATAATATAATCAACGATGTTTGTAACAACTAGTCTACTAGATATTTGCTAAGGCATTCTGTACCAAACAAATTTTAAATGATATTTTATTCAAGTTAAATGTTCTTAATTAATTTTTAGAAGTGACACATTTAGTATTATAAAAATCATTTTTTTATATTAATGTAGCATCAATATTAATTATTTTTTTAATACATTTCTTAGAATTGGCCTAATAAAATTTTTGTGGTATATTATTACCATAGGATAGATATCTCTAAAGCTGGATATCTTTATGATTATATCTTATAATATTTATTATATTCCATGTCGAAATAACTCACCATAAGTCAGGAAATTCAACAAATATTTGAAAAAGATACATTTTAAACAGATTTCATAACATGTAAGTTTAAAATCAATGCGAAATTAATCAGATGTAATAGTTTTCAACGCAAAATTAATTTTAAATATAAGAAACTAAAAAAAATAATTTTTTAATTTTATAAAATAATTAACATTGTTGTATAGTAAAAAACCATTAAGAGAATAAAGAATATCTACATAATTAATAAGCTATTATATTTTCGGTCGAAATGCAGTAGAAAATAATAATTGGAATATTGGAGGTTGTATATTTTTTTTTTTAAATTACATAGACTATTAGATCATATAAATTCTAAAAATGATAAATTGCATCTTAAAGTATTATACTTATAAAAATAAGTACATAATTAATAAGGTAAATATTTTGTTTTCCACATTTTCAAATTTGTTCACTTGAAATATTTTGTTTTTTTATTACTTAAAATAAAGCACTTCAAATAGTGAGCCGTACTAAATTCAATAAGTAAAAAAAATAAAAAGATAAAAAGACATTTACCAGACTAATTAATCAATTTTTTTCATTATTATTCTTACTTTTCTTAGCATATTATAAAAAATTAACATCCAAAGTTATTAAACCATATAAAAATAATAACTATTTAATATTCGAAAATAACACACTGTATGAATGTTACACAGCATAACAAAAAAAAAAAATTTTCTTTGCTTAAAAATTTGATAGAAGATTCGAAATAGAAATTCGTTGTTGATTTCAAATCTGGCCCTAAAATGATCAGTCTTATTCTAGTTTCTCAGATAATCACTAATTAGTGAATATCAAATAATCACGTAATTACTAAATAAAAAAAAACACCATTTACCAATTTAATGGCCTATATTAAGACATACTTGCAAATTATGAGATCTATATTTCAAGTTGAAATTCATACACATGACCTTCAAAGTTGGTTTTGTCAAATTACAAAAATTAAAGTTGAACTTTTTCCAATTACATTTTTAGCTTTAACCTGTAGTTATACTTTTTTTATGACTNTACACATGACCTTCAAAGTTAGATTTGTCAAATTACAAAAATTAAAGTTGAACTTTTTCCAATTACATTTTTAGCTTTAACCTGTAGTTATACTTTTTTTATGACTGATAGAAAATTTAATAAGGATTTTAACAATGTAATTTTATATTTTAAGCTTAACTAAATACTGAAATAATTTAATTTTAACATTAAAAATATGTTTGTCAAATTCCGATTTTATCTTAATAAAAATATTAGCTTCAATACAAAGCTAAGGAGGTTTTACTATAATGTGTTTCATATTTGACTTTCGCAATTTTTTTTAGCTCTCACTAAATCGATTTTTCTCAATGATGCGTCAAAAGTCACAAATTGTTTTTAGTTGAAAACATTGCCCTTCGAGATTAAAAATAAAATCTTTCGTTCCCTATAAACAGGGGGAAATCGCCCAAAAAATTACCATTTTTTAAAATTTGATTAAAAAGTTGACGTTTATTATTACTCCAACGTAGTCTTTTTCCACACTTTATTAAAAATAGTTAATAACTTCTCAGATAGTGAAAACAATTTTTTTTCAAAATATTATTTCCGATCAATTATTTTCTTTAAATAATATTTTATTTTATTAGCTGGTTAAATATTTTTGTTTAAATTAATTAAGTTGAAACCCATATAAGGTATATGGATTAACTTAAAAAAAACTTTAATACTTACTAAATCAAGAAATTCATAAAATTAAAAAATACCATGATGAATTTTCTCTATATAATTATTATTTTATGATAATTAGGGTAGCTTAAACGAATCACTCTATAAATAACAAATTATTACTTTATAATTTCTCTGTAAAAATTACATTACGACATTAGAATCTATCAATTACATACTAAATTTAATTACTATAATAAATATTTATTTAAGTATTATACTTTTAAGTCATATAACTTGTTGTCAGGATATAAATAAGAAAATAGCAGTTATTGTTTTTTGAATAACTCAATAATTCCTTCTAAAAATTAAATTATACAAAGTTTTTTTTACTATGCCACGTTCCCCATGTATTTTCATTAATTTTAAAACTAAATATATTTTAAACTAATTGATGTACCACAGTCCTATAAAATGTTTGACTCTGAAATAAAATGGTTTAATTGTATTTCATGAATCATCAACATTTATTACAGGGGTATACAACCTAATTAATACTTAAAATACACTAGTTTTTCTTGTTCGTTGATAAATAATTCGTATAAAATTTCTATAGGAGTTTTAAAATTATATCACTAATTTTTGGTTATCTATGCTCAACATTGGCAATGACAGAAATGACGCTACACTCGCTTCTAAGTTAAACGCTGCTAAAATCAGTTAGTACTCATAAAAAGTAATATTTACATAATATTTATTTTAATATATACTTTAGTATTAATTGTAAAAATAATTCTTTTAAACGTTATTTTTCAAAAAAACACTTTCTAGAAATCACAATCAAAAATTTAATTAATAATAATTATAGATATAAATGGTATTGATTTAATAATTTAACATGATTAATCTAGTATATAAAACATATGGATAAAGAACGTTTCCCCTTAAACATCAAACAAAAGGTAAAAATGATATATCTTCTATTAGTCTATTGACATAGAATTGAATTTTTTATGAATATTTAATTTTTTTTTTTCGTTGCTACCGACTACATGACCATAACAGAAACGTTTCAAACTTTTCATTTATAATAATTAAATTAAATGTATAATTATAGTTATACATTGATACAAATAAATAGTTTATATGACTATCGTGTGATTTTTTGATCAGTTTAATTAATCTAATACATTTAATTTGTATAGCTATCAACACATACTGGTGTAGTTATTGAAAAATCTACTCGAAAGACAACTGAGCTAGTTTATCAGTTCCTGTGTTAAGTTTTATTAACATTTAATAAATATTAATGTTTAAAGATTGGCATAATTTTAAATTAGACAATATCGAATACTTATAATTTGTTTAAAATATGTAGATTGTTTTTGCTCCGCTAGATTTGTGACAATCAATTACAGACTAATTTTGACAAGTTCTATTTTTAATTTTTGTTATATTTATATGATTATCTAAAAAAAGGATATTTTTTATTCTTAAAAATAGCATGACAATCCTACCGTGTAAAAAAATTATTATAGACAGTTACATGTATGTTTAACACAAACATATTTTATTTAATGATGTAAAAAACTACTATTTTGACTTGAACAATAAAAAAACAAGTTTATATTTTAAATTTTAATGTTTTGCATTAAAATAAACATAAATGTTTTAATTTTCTTGTTTTATTAAAAAAAAATATATATGTTTTCTGGCATTCATATCGTCTAAAGTACTATAAAAATGTCTATATCAAATAAAACAATTTCACCCAATTCTTAAACTTTTATATTAAGTAAACATATCATTATATAATTCCTCCATTTTGCAATAAGAAAAAACATGCTTTTATAATTGTCACCATCTTCTTAAAATAAATTTCTTCATTCTTAATTTATTTTCATTTGTAAGATTGTTAATTAATCACTAAATACACTAAACACTAAATACAATCATTTTATAATACAAACTTTGCATTTAAACTAGAAATTCTTTTAATTCTTTAACGCTTTTATTAAATTTATAAAAGTTGATCTGATATTTAAATATTGTTATTTTATAGAAATTTTTGGAATAACATTTGTAGTTTTAATGAGTTTTACTAAATCATGTTTAATTTTATTTTTCAGTTGGCTGTTCTACAAGAACATCCGGAAGATAGAATAGCTGGACGTATTACAGAATTCTACCATCATTGTTCATCAAAAAATGTAAGTCTACTTTTATAACTGATAATACAAAATATTTTTTTTTAAATATATTTGTAGTTTCTACTATTTGTTTTTTAAATTATACCAAACATTTGTTATTTTAATAATAATATTAATAAAATTGAAAATGTATGAACTTGTTTATGCATGTAAAAAGTGATATAAAATTAACATATGACAAATTTAATATCATAATTAAAAAAAGTAATTTTTTTGTCTTAGTTTTTATTAGTGTCTCATTGCATAATAATTGAACGGTTTTTTTAATAAAAAATATTGACAAAATAAAAACGGTTAAAATTATTTATTTTTATTTACTTAAAATATCTTCTACTTGTGTTAGATTACTTTTCCCGTGACTAAATGGGTATATGATTATTTTATTCTTGTTTCCACTCAAATAACAATTTTATTATAAGAACTTTTCGATTGTAAATAATAAAATCAGGAATGATTTCGTTTACAAAATGATGGTGTTTTCCGAAAGCATCAATGCGCACACGTGGTTGATGGGTAACATGACACGTCGGACACATGGCTTCCACCGCGGCCGTTGAAGTCATTTAATCCAACACTACCACCATTGCGTGTTATCCTCAGATCTTTCTACTTCAAAAATTGTATCTTTATCCCTAGTCCATCGTACAATATTAAAAGTGAATATATTTTGATCGTCAATAAACGTTGAAGGAATTAAATTGGTATTGGCATGGTTTTAAAAAGTTCAAGAGATCTTGGAATAGGAATACCCGACAGATCTTCACGGCAGGAATAAAAACTAAAGTCTCATGCATAAATATATAAACATGATAAATTGACTTCACACACATGCACACTAGGTGGTGCCCACCACAATCTTGATGACCACTTATCCTTGTCACTCGCTGGTGGTGTATCGTGATTTAAAACAACATGGTACCATATGAGCTACCTATATAGAAGACATTCGAGTATACACTATCTATTGCAATGTGTACGTATATGTATTTTATTATTTGTTCGTATGTAGTATCAACACACAAGAAAACGATATCGTAAAAAAAATTACGAATTATGTTTACTCAATATTGTTATAAATGTAGGAAGGTATAAAGTAATATATTAAAAGAAATCCACAGGAGTCCATCAGTACTGATGTCGTTTAACAAATTCTTTCAGAACAGTCCCTGGTATTTAATTTAATTTCAATAATAACACAATGGAGCTTCATTTAAAATAAATAATACTTATGTATGATACTATCTAAAATATAATAATTATAAGCTATATAAATGTTGGTAACCGCAAAATACTCTCAAACAAGGATACATTATAATTAGGATACATTTGGCGGGTGTACAAACAAATATATAATGATATAATATTTATATAAAAGTAACACATCATCTAACTCTTTCATAAACACCTCTGCACATTATATTAAATACTTAATCATTACATTTTGTTATCAAAAGTAAAAAATAAAAAATAAGTATATGTTATTATGCTTTAAATGTTCAATTTAAAGGCTTTCAAACAGGGAATAGTTGCAAGGAATTCAAACCTATTAACTATAAACATATTTTACTAGTAATCAAATTATATTAAAGATAATTTATTGATTCTACATATTTAAAATCACACCAAAAACATTCAACATCTAAGTGCCTGATTTTAATGTATGGAAGATTAAATTAAAATATTTTATAATAAATTAATAAAAATGTGAAGTGTGTCATTTAAAAAAAATTTAAACGTTAAAACGCAATTTGATTTATTTTACGACATTGACATTTAATTTTAAAAGCATATACATCTGAAGATATTTATTAATTGTTTATTTAATTTTAATAGCGCACATAATTTTACATTTATATTAAACACATAAACAATAAAAGTAACGATCACACATAGTTTTTCGAAGGATACGCTGTTTAACAGGTATAAAAACGTCACAGGTTATAATAAAATTAAATAATACAATAAAGGATAGACTGTAAAATAATTCTCAGCGGGGCGTTCGGAGTTATGAGACCTTCACTGTAGCAATGAGGCAGACTTGTTATTTTTTGATATGCAGGAGGGACATATATACATTGCAGTCAACATCTACACATTTCATTAATCTGACAAAGAAAAAAACAAAGTTTGGTCCATGTTCGAACGATTGTAATCTGAAGACCCGCAAAAATACTTAACTCCGTTCTGGACTATAAAAAATCATGTTTCATTTAATATTAGTTGTAGACAATTAAACTAAAAGGTTTATGTTATTTATAAAACAAATAACATATTTTATTAATTTCATTATAAAATTGACTGAAGAATTTTCATCTTAAGTATATTATTTATTTAATGAACAAATAGCAAAATACTTTTGTTAAACTAAAGAAAATTCAAAAATACGTATATTCTAATATTCAGTAATTATTAAATATTAAATATTGAATAAGTTTGGTTTTTATTAAATTTTAATACACAAAAATTATTTTAATAGAAAATAGCACCTTGTATTTTTATAATTACCTAAAAATTGATAAACTTTTTATACTTAAATTTTGATGTTCTGTCTTAAAATGTAAATTATTTATACGATATTTAATATTTGTTAAAACTTTTACTGTAGTAATAAACTTCATATTAAAAGTGACTTTAACTCATCCATATTATTATTAAATTGTTCTATGTAAGCATAAATCGCTTGATAAGTCACCAAACTTTTAATAGCAGCTATAAAATTTAAAAACACATTAAATATTTTGGAATTATCTTACGAAATCTAAAATAATAGGTAATATACTCAAATTACTAGTACCCACAACCTTTTTAATTTCTAATATAATCCACAAATCCCTTGTCTACCATAAAAAGACCTTCGACAGACCAAAAAACATGTGGATTACTACAACAGTGCTTAAACATCTGGTATTTTTATATTAACATAACCCTCAATATTAACAGTAAAACTACTTGTTAAGTGGTGTTATGTCTTTAAATTTGTTTACTTAATTTAATATAAAACCCAATAGATATAAAAAAATATATTAAATGACATTAAATTTATTTGTTTGTATTTTTTATTTTATTTTTCAGGTCAGACATATCGAATGGTGTATGCATTCATCGAATCAAGGTATACATTTGTATTCATTAAGGAATTTAATTAAAACTACATTTCACTATGATTCTTACGTTGTGTACATTTTTTGTGTTATTCGATCTGAATTAACACAGTTCAAGTTTTTTTTAGTGATATAAATAGCTTCGTTTTCAATAAAGTTAAAAGAACCATTTTAATATACAAAATTTGATTAATATGTGATGTGTGAAAACTAAAAGAAAATTTGCATCTTGTTAAGGAAAATATTCAATGAAACGAATTTAAGGAATTCGAATGTATTGTACTCGTCAGTGGCGTATTTACAGGGGAGTTGTCCTAAGGTAGGACCCCCAGATACCGATATTTTTACATTAATAATATGTAGAGTAAGACTCTTATACGTATTACAAATAAATATTATTCTTTAGTACCTCCAGAAAAATGCGCCACTGCTATTAATTAGCAAAGCTATTTTCTCAGGATGCCGTTTTTTGCATGGACGTGACTCATATCTAGTTAAACAAACGTGTTTTTCGATTATTTCCAATGTACTTGTTAATTATACAGATTGACCATATCTATCTCTTAAGAATATAATATAGAAGTGTACTAATTTACTTACATTCGTGCGTATGTGTCACAGATTCTGAGATAAAATGGTTAGAAGCTGCGAGGAAATGCTGCGATGTGGCCAAGTCAGATAGTTGCCAACTGTCGTGCTTAGATAAAAATGCAGAATCCAGATCAGTGCATAAGGATTGTCAAGATGAAACAGAATTTTTCGCATGCCACCAATACCAACAAGTAAGCATTAATATTTTGACTTCCTAGTTAAGGTTTTATTTATTATATTAAAAATTTAATCACGTGCTATTAATTAATCCAGTCCAATAAAATCATAATTCCAATTTGTTTTTTATTGTATCCATAATTTTATACAAGTATTTTTATTGATTTTCGACATCATTAAAAATCATTTTTCGTGGTTAAAAAATGGTTAAATAAATAAATTTTAAATATTGGATTGTATATAAAACATCACTAAAAAATTACAAAAGTAAGCAACACGAATTAAGATATCCGAATATAAATATGTTTTTCTCTTACACTAGCTAGTCGATTTTACAAATAGACGTATTAACAAAAAAGAAACTTGGCGGCCATATGTTAAATTCCCATGAAGTTTTTTATACAAGAAATAATTTAAAAATTAAATGTACAGTGTTGTATTTATTTGGTAAAGAAATAGTCATATCCTTTAATTGTTTTAATGTTGTTAATTAATGATATTGCTATAGGTTTAAATAAAATTATAAGTTATTATAATTTTTAAACGCTGATCACATTTAAATGGACTTATCATTTGAAATTTAAATATTTATAAGTCGAACTCGATTAACATAAGTGTAATAGGAATATATTTAAATAAACTATCATTTGATTAAACACTTATAAATTAAGTAATACTGAAAGAAGTCGTCAAGAATGTTAGTGTATTTATATATTTCAATAACGTTCCATATAGAAATATATTATATTAAAGTATTTTGCATTTTTAAGTCAACAGTCGATTTGAATTTATTGAACAATAATAATTGTCCATCAACTGAAATTCATTCTGTAAACAGTAAAAACACTCATTTTAAGCTCCTATTGTAATTTTTTTTCCATTTCATGTTTACTTCAGTTCCAATGGTCAGCTATGAAATCGTGTGTAGAGATTTTATACACAGGCACGCACAGCACTAAACGAACATTATAAATGTACTTGCAGTGTCCCTTATTTTATTTTTTGTATTTAACAGTATTTCTGTTTTAAACGTAGGAATTTTGTGGCTACGCACGAACTCAAGAACTAAACTATTTATATAAAATCTGATTGAATTTATTGTAAACCTTATGACTCATGATAAATCATAATAACAATAGAAATAATGTACTTTTACTCGTTGGAAATTTTTTAATAAGCTTTATTATAATAATAAAATATACATTAAGTGTTCTCATCAGCAAATTTTTTAAATTATTATTTAATAATCCATTCGACAACAAAATTATAAAAATGTATGTAAGTGTTTGTTTAATTACAAACATATATAACTTGATTAATATCAGCATATCATTATCATTAAGACTAAATTATTTAAAAATAACTTAACTTATTATTTTAACTCATTTTCACATTCTCCAATATTTCTTACCTAATAATATGTGTAATTGTTTCTTTTAGCTACGAGTATTTTAGTTAAATTAAATTAAAAAAAATTTTTTTTATTAAATTATTAAAACAACTTATTAATTTAATTAACATTAAATTAAAGTAGTTTTGAGTGTGTGAATAGTAAAACAGATTTTATCTTTAATCTGTATTAAAGGTGAAAAATACATGTTGCGATGACAGTACTGGTGATGCCACGCAATGTCAAATAGCTTGTGAAAAATTCCTAGCCAACACGCCTTCCGTTAATCAACATGCAGCTAACCAAGAGATCTTAGACATGTGCTCTGACCGTCGTGGTAGACCCTCTCGCCGTTGTTCACGCAACGTAACCACAAATAACTCTAACAACGGTCATAAATGTGAGATTAAAAGCTGTGAAATCATTCCGTTATACTTTTAATTTTACTTACGAACATTTTTTTATCAGATTTACACTGTTGTAAGTTGGCGCCAAACACACAATGCGAGGAAGCTTGTCAAGAGAGTTTACGCAAACAGTTTGATAGTGATGTTGAAGCCGTGGACACATTAGAAGGTAGAGGATGTGGACAGCCTTCGTTGGACGTATGTATACATACAAATTTTATTTACAATAATTGTAAATCATAATTGTTTTAATTAGTATAATATTTTTATAACATATTATAAGGTTAATATTTTAATTATTATGATTATAAGCCTATAGGCTATTATAGGCTACTTATAAATTATTTAAATACAATAAAATAAAGTCAATTTGTAATTTAGAAAAAATTACCTGATTTTTTATTCTAATCAGTTTCCAAATAACTTAATAGTTCCGAAATTTGGTACTAACTTACATTAATAACAAATATGGAACATAGGTATGTCTGTTTTTCGGTAAAATACCTTTCAAAGAAATAAAAAATTATGAATTTTCTTTTTTAATTTTAATCAATATAATTACTTTTAAAAAACATAGCAAAGTGAAGTTGTGACATAGTTATACCGAGTATAGATATCTGCCAGTTATTAATATCACTATCATAACAAAACACTTCAATGCTAAGCTGATAAATATTACAATCATCTAGGTCTCTTTCAAACCCTTCTTACACTTAAGTTTTTCATTGAATTTTCATTAAAAGAATAACAAAAGACAGCTATTATCTCTACTATACTCTACTAAAATTTCCGTGTTTTTAAAATGAGTTATTGAAAATTTCATTTTTTACGGTAGCCTAATTTCGAAATATTTTTCTTAAATTTTAAAATTGAGGGTTTTTTGTTGCTAATATGTTTAACTACTATTAAATTCGTGTTTTTTTTATGCATAATTCAATAAAATTGGTCCAGTGAGAGCTGATAATTTTCACAGACCGATATAAAAAAATAAAACATATAATGGTAAAATTAATATTTTCTCAGCTTCGCATCGGAGCTAAAAGCATTCATAACGTAATTAATTTCTATAGTTGCTCAAATATGAAATATCGTATTTTTTGTTTCCATCCATAATTTATATAAACAAGTACTTTATATAATTGTCATTAATTTTATCAGCTTAGTCGAGTTTTAAAATTTCATTTTAGAACTATTAGCTTCGATGTGGAGCTGAGAAATTATTAATTTTACCATGATGTGTTTATTTTTCTTTTTATTTATTTATTTTTTTGTGTCTGTCACTACTTTTTCTCAGCTCTCACTGAACCGATTTTTCTCAACAATACGTCAAAAGATCACAAATCGTATCTAGTTGAAGATATTACTCTCAAAAATTTTGCCCTCGTTCCCCATAAATAGTGAAAATCCCCCAAAAAATTATGATTTTTAGAATCGGTAAATTTCAACATTTTTTTTTTTTAAATTGCCATACATTTTTGAAAAATGAACAATTTAAAATACATCTTTTTATATTGAAACCTTAGATATTTCCCTTTCATTTGAAATAATTTTTTTGAAAATCTGACCATTTAATTTATTATAAAATACCTTATAAGAGGGTACACTAATTTTCATAAATATTATATATAACTAATTGACATAGAATATAATGTTAAACTTATTTAAATTTTTTTTTCTTTAAAGTCAAAAAAATTAATTTTAACATTTTAATTAGCTTAAATTGCCAATTTTATTAAAAAACAAATGGCATGAAAGTTTGCCTATTCAATAAAAATCATTGCATATGTCATTAATTTTTTTGCAATTTTTCCGTAATTATTTTTGAGTTAAAATTTTGCTTTTCAATAATCCACCAATTTCTTAAAATTAAACGCTATCTACAGATTTGCATCGAAGCGTTTTTTATGATAGTGATTTTAATCACTGTCATATATCATCTATACTAGTCCTAACTATGCCACGCTCACACTGTGCCGCGACCCCACTGTGCTACCGTTTTTTTTTTTCATGCCTGATTTTCATTATTATTGTATAAGCATTATAGCTGTACACCTTGCCTTTTAAATCGGTTTCTATAATTTTTTTCATTGATATGCTAATTTGTTTATATTTTAATTTGATGACATAACATTTACATAACTAGTCATAAATTACATCAAAGTAAATTCTATGAAAATATATATTGCACAATTGAAAATACACTTATTGTCAATGTATTAAAATTCATAAATAGCACTTAACCTAATAGATTTCTTCTAAAATATATAAATAAAGCATGTATACACTTTATATACATTAATTCAAAGTGATACTTATTTTCAGGATAGATTTTGGCAATGTTTTATGCAAGTGGAGCGTAATGTACCAAAAGATACAGTACTAACAGTTCCTATATCGCAGATTGAGAAGCTTGGCATGGACAGTGCAAAATTACATTGTTGTGAAAAAGCATCAACAGTTGGTTGTCGAAAACTTTGCGCAAAAACTTTTACTAACGAGTGGTCGACGTCTTGGAATGAATTAAACGCTCAATGTTTAACAGATCTCAAAGAAGACATGCTACTTAAATGTTTGGACGACGGTAAAAATCATAAGTTAATAAATAGCGAAGTAGAATTACCGATGTACATTTCTTTGATAATTATTTAATAAATCTAGAGATTATCAATTGTTATATTAAAACTCATTATAAACTGTAGGTAACAAATTGTTACTAAATTTCCATAATGTAATTCAAATACTAATGTACGTAAGTATCATAAAGTATGTAACTAACAAATATTTCAATGTATTTTATGATAAAATATTTATAAATTGATAATAATTATTCTTCTATAGTTAAATGTCCGCCGATTTGCAATAATGTTCAATATTTATTTCACACAATTTAGAACCAGTTTAGATTCCTACATGGTTCGTTAGCGACATTAATCTCATAATAAAACAAAAAATTCCTTTTTATGAAGAATCTTGTAAAATATATTTACTCATTCATTATGAGATGAAGTANCCGCCGATTTGCAATAATGTTCAATATTTATTTCACACAATTTAGAACCAGTATTCCTACATGGTTCGTTAGCGAAATTAATCTCATAATAAAACAAAAAATTCCTTTTTATGAAGAATCTTGTAAAATATATTTACTCATTCATTATGAGATGAAGTATTGGTAGTTCGCCATTTACTTAGCTTAAAGATGTTTTGCTCAATACCTCTAGACTTTTGATCTTACATTTTATCAATTTGTGATCAATTAGTATTAGATAAATCAAAATTATTATACTACTAAAAACTTATGATAAATAAAATAGATTTATCATTTTATCATCTTTTTCGAACCTTAAAGTTGTAGCTGTAAGTATTTTACGATGGTGTAGTGCATTGTTCCACTAAAAAGCTGGCGTTGTAGAAACATGTGTACATGTACATAAAGTTCGAATTAATTTTTTACTATACTAATTTAATAATATATTGTTATGTTTAATAAACTTGATAACTTATCATATTAATATTAATTTTGAATAGGTAGACATAATTTCACATTTAATATTCAGACTTAAATAAAAAATGTTTTTTTTTTTAATTTTAATAGTTGTTTTATCAAAAAATTCCATTATGGTTAATCATTCTTACGTATTTAATCTTTCAGTGGAGGAACCATGTGACTTGGGGTGTGAAGGCTTAAACTATTGCACGGTATTTAACAATCGCCCGACTGAGCTATTTAGGAATTGTTTACCGCAAACAGATGACGCCGCCCACTATGATGTTACCTTGTGGAAGCAAAGTGGTACAATTACACTTTTTGATCGACAATTGCCATTAAAAAACATAACCCGTTGTATGCCTGAAACATGGAAGGCTGTAGCTTGTGTATTACAGATTAGACCATGCACAAGAGAATCACATGTCAACAAAATATGCAGGTTATTAGACAAAACAATTAAATTTTTTTCATTACAATTTATTTTTGAAAAATACGTAGTTTAAGTACTAAAATATTTCCAGACATAGTTTTTTAGTAAAGTTAACTTTACTTTACTTTACTTAATAACTATTAAACAAGATTGTTTCGTTTAAAATTATGACTTATAAATATGTTTTATATTTATATAAAAAAAAACAGTAACAGTTTAATAAAATTATTGTATAAATACACAATGGTTGCCATTTGAAAGTTGTTGCCAATATGTGTGCGTTCTTTATGTCTACTCACAAAATTTGTTTCATTGAAATGTATTTTTACGGGACCAAGGGATTTTAGGAAACATTTGTGATTATGGTATTTTATATTTATTCATCTTGAAATGTTTTTGTACAAGTGTAATAATAATATTTAAATGACCGTTCACTTTCTTCTCGTGTCTAATATAAAATAGATAGATAACTATTTTATAAATTAATTTTTAATATCTTAATAGAATATAGATTTAAAAAACGTATTGTTTTTTTGTTACAGAGACGACTGTTTAGAACTATTAAGCAATTGCTTAGATTGGACTAGGATGTCTCCAGGTTTGACAGCTAACTCACTATGTGCCAAACTGTCACCAGAAAGTGGTCCTTGTGTTTCGTTGAAGACATACTCTGAATATGTTCCAGATCCTCCTGCTCCACCATATCATCAAACAGCAGTTGCCCAAGTGACTGCACCGTGCAAACGCAACCCTTGCTCAACTGGGATGGTCTGTCTGGTAAACCGTGGATGCCGTATAGGTCACTCATGCAAACCATATCGTTGTATCCCAGGTTGCAAAGTAGGCGAAGTGTCTCATTTTTTAATCCCCGAAGACTCCTATGCTCGCATCCCCATCTACAATGGTCAGAGGGGTTGTGTAAAAGTGTGTCAATGTACTAAAAAAGGTATTGACAAATGTCAGCTAATGCCGTGTTCACAAATGCTACCTTGTTGGCTGGCCGGTAAGCAAATTGGTAAGTTTTCAACTTGGTCAAAACGTGTCAAATTAATTAATAACGTAAACGTACACTTATCTGACGAATAATTTTCTTTTAAGATTTAAAAAAATTTTTTTCATCGCATTTAGTAAATATTTATTTAAAAAAAAATTAATCAGTCAAATTTTTTACCTACTACTAGTTTTAACTTTTATTAAAATAAATCGATAAATTAAAAATAGTATCATTGTATTTTGTTTTCATAAAATTAATTTAATATAATTTATTATTATTTAAAGATCACGGAACAACATTTAAAATGGACTGTAATACTTGCAACTGTTTTGCGGGTGATATTATTTGTACAAAGAAACAATGTGAACAAACTACAAATGCAGTGTCCTTATATAGACACACTGGTTTACCCTGTAACTGTGCTCCTCATCACGTCCCTGTATGTGGAAACAACGGCAACACATATCCTAATTCGTGTTTAGCAATGTAAGTGTTACTTTTCTTTGCAAATATAACTGAATAATTATAATTTTTATAAAAAATTTAATAAAACTATTTTTCCACAGATGTGCTGGTCTATTTGACATTGACTTGAAGTTTGGACCCTGCTTAACAAATGATCCCTGTGCTGATCACACGTGTAAATCAAACGAGAAGTGCATTCCGACTCGCCAAGTCTGTCTATCAACATTAAAAAAATATTGTCCTCAGTACAAATGTGGTGAGTTATCTGTTCGCAATTTTTTTTTATTATTATATGTATATTAATTAAGCGCACTCTACTTATATAACTCGAATCTATATATTTTTTAATTAGTTCTCAATGAAGATTCATGTAAAGATACACATAAGAGTCCAGTGTGTGACACAGACGACGAAGAACACGAAAGTATATGCCACTTATTACAAGCTAGTAAGACTTTGGCTTACCACGGCCCTTGTTTGGTAAGTTGTCTTTTGTACTTATGTTAATTATTTATTTGACCATACATATTTATCTACTAGCTACCAAATAATAATAAAATATACTAGTAATCTATCTCTTATAATTTTCTAGGTAGGATGTAACTCTTCTGGAACAGTTTGCGGTGTGGATGGTAATACTTATCCATCAGAATGTTCGGCTTTCGCTGAATCTATAAGCGTTGATTATGCCGGACCTTGTATGTCTAGTGGTTTCATCAGTTATAATGGAAGACCGTACTGTTCTAAGAGAGTAGTTGAATGTCCTAGATTACCTGAGCAAGGATGTTTGGGCATCACGCCGCCTGGTTCCTGTTGTCCCAAGTGTGCCGGTGCTCTTCGTGTTATGTTCAGGTCAATATAAAATTATAAATTTAAAATTAACTTCGGATACCGTATAAACTTACCTTACCTAGTATAATACTGATTAAAATGTTGAATGAACGTTTTTAGTTCCTTTCAGTTTTACAATTTAATATATTTTGCACTCTCGTACTTCACTAACATAATTTTTGAAATTGCGGTAGAAATGTTAATTTTTATTTTAATTTACAGTCAAAAACAAGTTGACAGAGTCGTACACACATTGAAAAATAAATCTACTTCAAATGTTTTGAGCATGAAGTCTGTATTAAAAGCACTAGATAGACACGTTCAAGTAGCCGAATGCACCGTCCGAGGCCATCTTACTGTTTACCAAGATTTATTGGTATTGATTGAATCCAATTTACGGCATCCAACACGTTTGCAATTGGAAGCTTGCGCTTGTGAAGCAGAAAAGTTGTCAACGCTAATGGAAATGTCCAGTCCTCGAATAGTGTCTGATCTAAGCTTAAGTATTTTAATATCGGCCAGTCCCGTCCACGAAATTATAACAAACAACTTTGCAATGCAAACGGCTACTGTTAACGTAACTTTATTACTTGTGTCTTTAATTACTACATTTCTACATAGAATTTAAAAACTGACTGAATATAACAATTTTTTATTATATATATATATATATAAGTTAATTTCAATTTTATTTTTGTTATTCTAACGTTTTGTACAAATCAATGCGATGTCTGTGATAACTTTTGTCGGTATACAAAGTATACATTTTTATGCAAAAAAAATATTATATTATAAAAATAAATATTAATAATTATTTACAACACACAATGAGTTCCAACATTATTATTATATTTTCACTGACTCCTTAAATAATTTGGGTAGATGAATAATATTCTAATCTGCAGATAATATTGTTCATATATCAGCCCTACAATTTAACTAATTAGAGTGACAGGAACCAAAATTATATTTTGAATAGTGATTGGGTTTTTAAATACTGATTCAGCCGTTAATCACGACAATTTGTTAAAATATCAAACATTTTATCTATTGAGATCATATTCTTAAAATTTTAAAAATTTCCGTTTCCACGTAATTATAATAAATCATTTAAAAAAGTGAAGTTAATAGAATCAGTAATTATAGATTTTTTTAACTTTTTCTATTTTATATCTTATTATATAATAGAACAAGGAAAAAACGCTTTTCTGGAAAAATTACTTAGCGTGCTCGCCCGCGAGCGTTTTAAAAATTCGACCGTTTTTGAGAAAAACGCTCGCTAACGACAGCGTTTTACGACTTAAGGTTTGAAATTTTCATCAGACCCGCCTAATTACATTCCTGAGATCTGATAAAAAAATCAATTCAATCCGTTCAGTTTTCACCGTTTTACGAACTTTTTTTTTTTTCGTCTACGCGCATGGTTTTAATATGCGCATTGACTCATTTCTGCTTATACGTTTATTTAGAACCTTAATTGTATGGTGTAATATGTATTTTTATTAGAACACTATTTTGTATTCGTACAAAGTACTACATATATATATATTTTATCGAGGAATATTATATGTTACATATAAATTTCGAGACTGTTATAATTATATAAGTTTCTACTTTCATTATCAGAACAGTACATTATTAATAACATTTTTTTTCTCATATATGATGTATGAGTCTATGAGTTTATCGTTTAAATTGGGATCCATCTATGAAAATTATGCTGTCCAACGTTAAAACGCAGTTACCAATATTTTTATCAAAATTAAATTTTTTACACAGTCCCACGTATAATATCCTGCTGAATTTTTTTGTAATTATTCTATAATATAAACACAATTATTATAATTAGAATATTAATAATTTTTGTGTATACCAGAGGAGTATTTAAGGGAGATATAGGCCCCCCTTGAACTAGCAATATCAATATTTTTTTAGGCAACTTCTAATAAATAAGGACCTAATGTCCTTATTTTTCATCATTACTTTGATTTTTAATAAAGATATTGTAAGAAACAGGAAAATTATCAAATATGATTTTAAAAGTCAATAAGAATCTAAATTTATGTCATTTTATAACCCTCGAACAAAACCCCGAAATAAAGTAACTCTTCTTTTTTACTCAATACTCACCAAACTACCATTTACCCGTTATTTTGAGTTATGATAGTATTAATAAAGTATCCCATAGATGATGTTTTACTTTTTATAAAGCTAGAACTTGTAGCATGGTCGGTATCAACAACTATTTGCTGATTTTTTCGGATATTGAAAGCTAGAAAAAAGTTAATCTAGTTTTAGTTGAAAATTAGGTGTAAATTTTATTAGATAATAAGTAATGCATAATAAAACCTATGAATTGGAAATTATCTCGTAAGGGAATAGTTATTAAAAATAAATTATATTTAATTTAGCACAATACTTATTTTAATATAATGCTATGTAATATTTTTTTAATAAATTGTAATTATGCTCAAATTAATAAATATAGATTACATAATAATACTGCAGTAATTATTGAGAAGCCTCGGCATATAAATTTATGTTAGAAGATACATTATTATAAATTTAGGAGAAAATATAAGAACCATGGAATACAAAACGCCAATTGAAAGATTTGACAACATTATGTTATAAACAAACTGGTATCTAACAAAACTGTAATAGTTATTACTATTTCAATGGATACAAAAGCATTTATTACATATTTCGATTTTATTTGTAAACTGAATAATTATTACAACTATTATATATTAAAGAAAAAAATAATGGATGTTATTGTGTATTTCATATAGCCATTTGTAGAAAAATGTATGATATTTTAATGACTTTTTTGTTTATAATTAGCTTAAAGTGATTAGAAAAATTTATCAATTCAAAAATGTTATTTTTGCCTCTCAATTTTTGAATTTATAAATACGCTTTCATTAATATAAGTCTTAATAGTGAATTTATAAAATAGCTTTCAAAAATTGTCCTGCCTTTCCCAAATTTTAAGACTGAGTTTTAAATACTGAGCAGTGGCTGAAATCACTGTCAAATTTCTCTTCGATGATATTTATTTTTGTATAAATAATTAAATTTGACTTTTCTTCTTTTTTCTCGCCTTAATCCCAACTCCTTGGGGTCGGCCAAAGAATTAAATTGGATTAAAAATTTTTTTTAAGCTACCAGAACGAAGTTATGGATAAACAATAATAAATAATTCGACAATAAATACTTTAAAATATTAGAAATTAATAATTTTAAGTGTTTGTATGGAGAAAGCTGCTTAAGCTACTTTTTATTTGATTCAGAGATTTTTCAATTTTTAAGGGTAATATCTGCAACTAAATACGAATTGTAATGATTTGACGTATCATTAAAAAAAAATCAAGTGATGGTTGGGAAAATAAATGGCAGTCAAAAAAAAAACCACATAGTAAAATAATATTAACATGAATAAGAAATTTCTTTACAAGAGGAGGGACTACAGTGATGGGATCCTTGATATTTATTGAAGTTATTGAATCTAAATGAGATAAAAATAAATCAAATGATTTAAAAAATGTTTTCTAACTCAAAAAGAATTAAGGAAAAAATGCAAAAGTTAAATTTTAGCCATAGGCCGATTCGAACGATATAAGTGTTACCGATTCGGCAATTGTTCGTCGCTTTCTTGGTTTAATAAAATTTAGCAATTTAAGCTAATTCAAATTTTAAAGTTACTTTTTCGACTTAAAAGAAGGGGAAAAAAATAAAAACGTTTAACTTTAAATTCTATGTCAATCAAATTATATAATATACATGAAGGTCAGTGTATTCCCCTTATAAGATATTTTAAAATAAAATAAAATACTTCTTCTTCTTCTTCCTCGCCTTTATCCCAACTACTTGAGGTCGGCCACCCTTATTCTAAACTTCTACTTGACACGATCTCCCACATCATCTACGCTCACATCAGCTGTCCTCATATCGCATTCAATAGCATCCCTCCATAAAAAGGTGTTACTAGTAGTTTTTATAATAAATAATACATCTAAATTAAGTCCTACTAAGTTCCAAATGTATATGAATATTAAATGTATTAATTTATATTATTTATTATACATTTGTTTTTACAATATAGTTATTATTTTAAAATTAACTTAATCAATAATAATAGCATTTATTATAAATATTAACTCCATAAATAATTTGTTGTTTATCATGAGAATTATATATAAGAATAAAATTTGTTTTATTTTTACATAAACATGCCCAAATGTTTAAATATTTACTAAAATACAATAAATACGATCATAATGCATCATAGGAACAAATATGTTTTTGTTGTAATAACTTATTATTCTCATTCACGACTTTAAAAACAAAAGTATTCATATTGTACATTCACTATCAACGGATAAACTGTAATACAATCTAAATTGCACCCTTAATTAGCTTGACTCATTTAAAAAAAATGTTTATACACATTGCTATTGAAACATGTGCTCACCATTCCAACGCCACTATTTAAATTACTTGCATTATAACATGTTGTATTAACTTAATTTGACTACCTGCATTAAATCAAGTCGGAAATACATTTTATCATGATGGACGATTTAGAAATGGATAATAAAGACCGAAATAAAATATTAACAAATGTTAAAGGAGTCAACTTAGCAAAACGACAGATCTATTTAGAATTTTCAGAATTCAGTCCGGCACAAATAAAGAAAATTGAAGAAATATTTAATATGTAAGCACTTCATTGTAGTTTATTATTATACATAATTTTTAATTATAAATTGTTTATTTTTGCAACTAAATTATCCATATATCCAATATTTTATTTTAATATTAATTCAACGCAAAGACAGCTATTTTAAAGTATTACAGTTTTTAAAAATATTATAATTACATATTTGAATAATTCGAAATAACCATACGTTCGTGCACTGTATAATTAACAAAATTTAATTATTTAATAAGTTAAAATTTCAACAGAACTTAAAGTGATTTTTTATTCTAACAAATTATTTTAATTATTTAGGTATGATTCAAATAAGGATGGATATTTATGCAAAAATGAATTAAAACATATGATGATAAAACGACGCGTTCCTTGGACAGAAAATTCTATAAATCAGTTAATAGATGATGTCGATAACGACCACGATGGAAAATTAACTTTTAGAGAGGTCTATGATTTTATATATTAAATTTCAAAATATATTCATTATCATTAAAATTACGTTATTTATTATTGGTAGTTATTCAGTACCAAAACAGTAAAATACAATATTTTTTTAAAGTCATAAATAATGTTTGTATAATCTTAGTTTAATCAATAAATGATAGCCATAAGAATAATAATTTTATAGCTAAATTAATTAATGCTTTATTTTACTACAGTTTCTCATGACAAATAGAAAAACATTAGAGTATGTACAGCGAACATTAGCTAAACAAGAAAAAGTTGATTTTAGCCAAGTAGGAATAAAAGGCGTTAAGGAATTTTTTGAAGCAAAGGCAAGTTTGGTAACTATATAAATAATTTTTTATAGGATAAAATGGGGTAATTATTATTGAATTCGTTTAGATAACTGCACTAGTTTTTATATCGAACTTACATAAAATACGATAGCAACACATATAAGAACCTAAACTTTCAATTTAAAATAAAATCTGCTAAATATTCCTAGAGAAAAAATTAATTTACGAATACCCCAGTCATTTATTGCTACCTTATTTCCTATTAATAAATATAAAAAAATGTTATTTTTTTAAATATAAGTTTAAATATAAATAATTAAAATTATTGGTTTTACTTTGTGTAGTGTTATTATTTTCAAAATGTTCAGGCATTAATATTTAAGTATTATAACAGATATTATTATTAAAGAAAATTGATTTTATAAAAAAAAAAAAATACCTTAATATACAGGGTGTTCAGTAAGTCAGGAAACAGGTTTCTATTGTTCTCATTGTTACAAACAATGAGAAAAATAGAAACCCGTTTCCTGACTTACTGAACATCTGTATAGCACACAATATGTAGTATTATTATTTTATCAACCATTATTTTTCAATTAGTTAAATAATTTTTTTTAATAATATAAAAAAGTATTTAAGATGATAGCATATCGATCTATATTAATAATTTTAATTATTATAATTTTTTAATTTAAAGTATTTAAAATATTTTTAAATATATAAAAAAATATAGTATCATTATATTTTTTCAATAGTCAAATCACATACAAGTTAAAAATTATTAGATATTTAATGAATTTTAATTACAAGAATTAAATAATTGAAAAAAAATTTTTTTTTACAGGCCAAGTTTTTGAAATGACAAAAATATTAAGTATAGCAACATTTTATGAAGTTATAACAGAATAATTATTTGTTACTTTGCTTAAAAAAAAAGAAAAATAATGTTATAAATATAATCTTATGAATTATTCTAAAATTCTATATATTTTTACATCAAATAAAGGTGTGGCATAAGTAATTATCTTTTTGAAAAATTTTTTTTTAAATATATTCATTAAAATCTCTCATTTGATTTTGGAAAATTACATTTAACACAGATAACATCTAGATTTCCAATTTCCCTCTTAAGATCCTTAAACATGAATCATCTAGATTTTTTTTATGGTAATATGTTAAATCAAAATATTAAGTGAAGAAACCACAAACTATTGCAACACTTAAAACATAAAATGAATGTTGATCAGTGACATTACCAGAGATATCCGAGGCTCAGTGATTATCAGCTTATATGCCTATATGCCGAAACTTCAAGGGTTATATGCTAAATATAATTATTCATCATTAAATTTGAATTAAGAAATTAGAAATTAAAATAATTTGAGATATGATTCATTTTTATCTGAGTTAACTCATTATCATAAAGATATATTATTTTTTGCCACACCTGGTTGTACATCTAATATCAAATAAAACTTAGGTATTACTATACAAAATTATCAACAAAATGTATACACATAATAATTGAATTTTAAAAATGAAATAATTATACATACCATAAGGAATAATTTTTGAATAACATTTTAATCCAATAAATATGTTATTAAAAAATACATGCTTAGTACATATTAAAAACAAAATATTTTATCTTAAGATTCAAATATAGAATAAATATGAACTTACATTTACGGTTTCACTTAAAAATTATTTAAAATTGTACAAACATTATTCTAAAAACTAAATTCTCTTGACTAATTTTCACTTTTGGAATAATAAAATATTTAAATCATAACATTTATTCAATTAAATTTTTTTATACTTTACTAAAATATAAAATATACTGTACTAAAATTTAGGTTTGTAGCATTAAAAATATCTTTAAAAAATGTTATGTTTTATAAGTAAAATGTAGTTAGTGTGTAATACTTGAACCTATTGGAAAATTAAATTGTTTATTTTATTTGCTTCTCTAGTTATAGCTAATCCATCAAATTGGACTGTTAGTTCTCTATTTGGTTGAACTTCATTCAATCTTATTTGCTCAATGTTATTAAAACATGGCTGGTAGTAATCACTAAGTTTAGGTTCAAGTGTTTTTTCAATATTTACTTTTCTTATTGTTTGTCTTGGTAATTGATTAAGATTACTATGTAATCCAATGTCAACTAAATTGGAGTAATCATACACTTCTTCATTTAAAGGAAAATTTACTGATTTCAGTCCAACCTAGTTATATAAATTATATATTAGATCGTATTCAATTTATCATAAACCATTTGATTACTCACAAAATTAATTCAATATTAAAAAAAATTATAATATTTTTTAATTATATATATATATTTTTATTTATCAGCCATAGATTACTTTTTAAAAGTTAATTATCTCTTTTAAAGTAATTCATCTCTTATAACTTATAGGAATACCAACTAAATTTTTATAAACGGAAACATACGTTTATAACTAACATAAAATAGAAACTATCTAATTAAGAAAATAACTGGTATAAGAACTTTTGACTCATTATTTTTGAAATTATTAGTATGTAAAATATAGACTGGAGATAAAACATAGTTGCTGCTTTTTTTTATCATGAACAGTTTTCAACTACAATCATTCACTCTTCTAGATATAAAAATGAGAATAACTTCTGAAGTATTGGACCAAAAGTCATTATTGAGCAGTCATTTTCTTAATTAGATCATTTTTTATTTTATAATATAATTTAATATGTATGTTGCCATTTAAAAAATAAAGTTGACAACCCTATAAATTATAAGGGATGGTTCTAAAAAATAATGAATAGCTAATAAATTAAGAAATATATCTAAAAATATATTATAATATATAAGAAACATATTCATACTTTTTTACTTTTTTCAATATTGTATTTATTTTGCAAGGAATCGAATGATTTATGATAAATCAATCACATTATACACTTCTACTAAATATTACATAAAAAACAGAAAACTTACTTGACTTGCTGTTAATTTTAATTTTGAATTATCATTTTTTATAGAAAGTTGTTTTATTTTACTTTCTGTTTGGATAACTGACGAATAAAGAGTTGGCTGTGGTTTGTAGGACTTATATACATTTTCATTACTCTTAAGATGTTTCTTTTTTCGATGACTCATAGTTTTAAGTATAGTACATTAAATTCAAGAAGATTAATTATTCAAGTTTACAAATATAATTAATATAATTTCAAACAAACATATAGAATAAATAAGAGTTCTAAAAAATAAATTTATATGTTCATAATAATTATAAAAAATTATGATAACAGAAAACATGTAGCTTACAGTGTTACCTCAAGTAATATTTTATAATAGTGCTATTTAAAAATTTTTAATTGAATTTTGTGTGTAAATGATTTATGTAATCATTTTTCATATTACTTTGGATCTGTTGTTTATTCAATGAATACTACATAGAATATATTTTTATATCAGTCTGCTATTGCTTTTGCATATATAAAATATTTAACACCTACACTTTAAATCTATACCAACGTTTAATTATTATTGCTTTTATAAGATTGTCTATAAAATATTACTTGTATTTCCAGTCAGTGATCAAGATTAGCTAGCTATGGGGTAGACGGCGACGGACGTTGTGACTGAACCTAAGTTGCTAAAAATAATTAGGAAACCAACAGTTTGTTTACTTTTCTGATATCCGTATTTTAGATTTATTATTGATTGACTATGCCCATACAGTAATAATATGATATTAACAAAATCAACAATAACGAGTTGTGTATACTATGTTATTCGTATCGTATTAAGAATTTGTTTTTTAGTTGCACTTTTATTCTTAAAAATTTATTTATTTATTCTAAATTTATTTTATAATAGTCAAGAATAACTATAAAATGATAGCCCAGTGAGGTCATGGCATAAGAAACTTCGATGCAAATTTACAGATATGTTTAATTTTAAGAAATTTGTGGATCATTTCAAAAGAGCTGCTATATCCTTATTTATATTCAGATTAGTAGACCTTAGATTTATAAGTATAATATATTCTAATTGTAGTAATTAAATTTAATATGAAATTGATTTTCAATCATTTAATATTGTAATTTTTATAGAGAAATAAACGAGGTTTAACCCTTGTACCTCAAGTGTGGAATACATAAATGCTACCAACACAACAACTGTACATTTCTTATGTTGATGAATAAGAAGTACAATTTAAGATAATTAAAAACTTCAAGTTGTTTTCTCAACTTGGCCAAAAATTTTAAATAAATTTAACATTACACTCTATGTGCAATTATATTCATAATAAAAAAAATAAAAAAAGTCGCCTAGTTGTACATTTTTCAAAAAGTAATAAATGTAAAATTGAAATTAAAAAAAGAGAATTTCAAAATTAATGTTTTTTTGTTGGGTGAAAAAGTGTACCTAACCTTTTTTTTATGAATTGAAAAACGTACAATATTCAAAAAATTATATATATAACATTGTTCGATATATAAATAAGTGCTCATACTTAAATAAACGGCTGCCGCCACTAATCCAACCGAAATACTTGTGTCAGCTATTTTATTTACTTTTGTCAATTCTCATTTTGTGTGTTTGTACTCTACCGCCGAAACATTTGAATATGCGTTGAACTAATTGTATAAAAATACAAAATGTTTTAAATAATTAAAGATGATGGTGCTCATTAAAAATCTACACGATATATATTGATAAATACGCTATAATTTTGTTCAAATTTTACTAAAATTAATATCAAAGTCCTACTATTTTCATTATAAAAGATAAAGTTGCCCTATCGGTTAATTGCAATTTTTACGTTATTGTAATTTTGAGGTTTTTTTCTTAAGTTCTAAATTAAAGGATTTCTTTTTGGTAATGAATTAGAACTTTCATGGATACATATAAAAAAAAAAAACATAGTATAACAAAATATTAAATTTACAATTTTTTTTTTTACATTGGTGAGAAAGTAAAAAAAACGAAATATTTTCAGTGAAAACATATTAATAAAATAAAGTAAGATGATAAAATAAATTATTATTCCATTTTATTATTTTTTATTATTATTTAATTATTATTCAATTTTTTATAGTATAGTCAACCCCGAAAATTATCCTATTTAGTGATCTAAGGCAATATATGAGATACATAAATTATTTTGTTTTATATAGGTATTTTTAAAGGATAATAAAATTTTCTCTTATATTTTTAGTAAAATATTCGTAATTTGTATAAACTAGATTTCATCCTGAAAGTTTAAATTCGGTAGATACATATAAAATAAATGAAATTCTATTAATATTATACATCTAAGATCAAGTACACACGTAAAAAAGATCAGTTTTACATCTTTTAATTTCCCGAACATAATATGCTACAGTGGTGGTGGCGCTCTTTCACATGTTAGGTAGTCAAAGATGGTTCTTGGTTAAGCCAATGATGGACGGGACGGGTTTTATGACAGGCTTGCCACAGAGACCAGACACTACCATAAGAAAAAATCTCGTTTGCGCCCTTGGGACTGAATCCGGGACCTCGTACACTGAAACATATATTTTGACTAACTAGGCCAGGCCTACCTAAGAGATCATGTACACGTAAAATATAAAAATATTCAAGCAAAGAATTTAGGTATACTATACGATTTACATTCTCTACGTAGTTTTCTGTAAACTTATTTCCTTTATTTTTATCCTTGTTCAATAGACGATGAAATTGGGTAATAAACTACACAATCCATGATTATGCAAAAGAAAAAAATGGAGTCCCGAAAGAAATTTCGAAATTCGTAAAATAAGGACCACCCTATTATACATATTAGAGTTTGCTTAAAGAAACTAAGAGAATTAAAAATTAAAGGTTGACTACAATTTATATAAAAGAAAATATATTTAAAAGATTTGGCGCCATTTTTTTGTATCCCAATACCCGCTTTTAATAGACTACTATATGACGACTTTGTAACTGTGTATGTCTTCATTATTGGATACAAACTTAATAATTATTATTAGTAATAATTTGCTATGACAATAATAATAAAATTGAATATTAACTATTAATCTGTTAAGCGCAACTTGATTTTTAAAATATTTGCAATATTTCGATTATTAATTTTTCATATTTATTATTGTTGTGTTTTTAAGGAATGACACGGACCGCGTTGTTCTCTATACACAGAGCCCCGCGACCCGTGACACCTGTATCAACCGCCGCCATTCTACGTGCATATGGTAGTTTGACTGACTAACACCGCGTGCGATACGCCACGGTACAAAGTCCAGCAAGTGCCGCACGTCCATCTACGACCCGCCGCAAATACACGTTAAGTCATCTCCGTGACACCGCTTTGACCGCATCGCCGACAGTACAGCACCGGACACACCGATACGACATATATTGTTTTCTTTGGATACCTACTTAAGTACGTCAATCGTCTACTTGCTTACTGTGGTTATTTGTTTTACCTTTTTATTTTCGATATAAAGTTCTGTTCAGTGACAAATAAAACATTAGATTATTCTGAACCAAAAACAACGTGTTGTGTTTTCTTTTTGTTATTTTCCTAATATTACAACACCCCACGAGTGCGGCAGGATAAAAAAACCCGCATCAACTGGCTCCCCGGCAAGGATTACAAACCGGTCTTAATTTGGATTAACTTTGATTAAGGTAAGAAAACCATTTGCTGACTTGTCTGTAATTTATTTTACTTTTTATATAAGAGACAGCTAGGTTTACTTAGCCGCCCTGTGCTTCGAGTTATTTCAGTCACAGTCCGCTGGTGACAGCAGCGAATTCCCCGCTCGGTTATAGATAAATTTTCAATAGCGCAACAATTGTAGAATTCCACTTCGCTAGTTATTTTTAACATTAACAAGTAGATTATCCAGTTGTTGCCCAACCATTCCTTATCGCGTGCGCGAGACGACGCCGCTGATTCACATTACATTGCAACGACAGCGATAGACAGGTAGTGCACAATACACTCCGTATCAACGCGTTCGATATAGCATTAACAACCGAGCCCATAAAACCGTTTGTATTATTATTTCCGACCTTCGAAATTATAAATATTATAGTAACGTCATCCCCATACAAAACCCATTATCTTAGTGCTATACTATATCAGTATCACAACAACAACAATAATAATACAAACGGCCGGCATTGTTGACGTTCATACGCGAGCACATAACGCGTATTCTCGAGACCGACGGTATTGTATTTCCGAATAACAAAAACAAACAAGCGCTTGCGTTTTATTTATTTATTTTTGTTCATTCTCGCGAAATACGATAAAGAACGTTCACGATGTCAGGTAAAACATTGTCTCAGATGAATCGTCGGGAACTATTGCGCGAGTGCGCTTATAGACAGCTAAATGGGCCCACAACGAAAAGCGATATGCTAGCCGTGTTAGAAAATAACTTACGCAGCGAAGGGCTAGACCCATCGAACGCGATTTTACCCGAACGCCCGCCGCTTCACTATGAGACACTCGAGACGGAACGCGAGTCACGGATAGACGACGCCCCCGCGCTATGCCGGACCGTCGTCCCCCCGACACACGCGGATCAACCGGTTAACCTGGCGCTAGAGGAATCCGAAACAGGGTCTCTACACGAGTGGTCCCAGGCAACCGGCCGTCCCAACGGATGTGTGAACGCAGCGTATACAGATGACATGTATACGGTACGTTCAATATCCCACGCAACGGAGGAGATAGGCGCGTTAAGGCAGAGCTTACGCGATGTATCTTTGAACACACGCATGGAAGCGCGCATGTCAGAAGTAGAGAGAGCACTGTCCCGCATTACGCAGGAGATTCGGTCCCTCTCACACACAATTACAAGTCGCGATTTAAACAACGAGTCCATGCTAAATCCGTTCGCCACCGCACAAATGACGCGAGGAACAGCCGACACAAATCGTACTGATCGCGCGCACTTGCCAGAACAAAACCGCGTAACGTTTGGGCCGAGTAGCATGACCCAGAATAACGCGGCTTTACAACAACGTTTGACGGAGATCGAAGAGCGCGAGGCGCGCAATATACAACGATTAGCCGGCCAGACCACGCGCGCGTCTCCAACACTACCTCGAGCGAACACGCACGAAGCAACTTTCAATTCAGACGCGCGCCCACAACACACGGGACATTTCGGGTCAAACACATTTGTACCACCGACACGCGATTTGTCACCGTCCCCATCAACCCGTTCATATACACATTCGGCGACTGTACCGTATAATAATCCGCCTGTTTTACGTCCTCCGTCTC